ATTTTCTCATTCAGGGGGAGGCAACTTCTATTACCGGGATGAACTTAGTGATTAGGATGATAGAAAAGTGACAAGTTACGGTACTATTCAATATAAGGCACTGGCCCAGGGTTAAAGTTAAGCTGACATTAATTGTGATGCTAATATGCAATGAACTCAAAGGTTGATCTTTACATTCATAGTTGCATTTATTTACAACGTTCTTGGCAAACCTGGCATCATAGGCAATTCTTTGAATAAAAATATTGTCATCTATTGCAATTATTTTTACAACAAAATCAGCATATTGAGAATTTGTAGTAGCATCTGGATTTGTACGTGAGCATAATACTGACGATTGTTGTCGAGACTGACTTGTCCATTATTTGAATATTTCAAATAAGACTGATCTGAGGCTGCAATTTGTTTAATAGTGTCATTTTAAATGCTTCTTGGAGAATATAAAAGTACACCACAATTTTCATTTGTTATCTCTCTTAGCCTATTTAAGTCAAAATCTGATAGTGTTTTTCCTTGCAGTAGCAGATTGCTCTGGGTTCAAATGTCAATCGAGACTTTTTCTACGAGTTTGAAAATCGTCTTGAGTAGTATCAAATCTACCTGTAATCTTTTTCACAACAAGATTTCTTACAAAGTCAGGTTGTATAACCCTTTTCCCTTGAACATGTGGTTTGTTTGGGATGTACATGCTTTGTAGCATCCCAACTCTATTTGCCTAACAATAAAGTGCAACAAGGCAACGCAATGTTTGCAATACACTCGTAGACCTGCTGTACAATTGCAGTAAGCTCTTTCCACTTTCCCCAGGCTCTTCTGAAGGACTGTCCATACACTATATGGTGCTTGTGTCTGTGCCTTTTGTCGAGCAACAATACCCTTTACATAGCAGTAAGATATATTTGGACTGATTCGATGGTATTCAACTCCAGTAACATGTCAAGATAAGTATAAACTTGCTCCTTCTTTTGTTGATTTTGATCCTTTCGTCGGGACATTATGGTTCTCAGCACCTGTAAAATTAATTCAGTTTATACATATACATGTATAATATATCATAGAGTAGTTTATTGAGGAAACAAATCACGAACTTGCATGAGTGTAAACTAGACACACCTGCTTTGTTCTTTATTTATATGTTTGCACACAAGATAAGCCAAGAGGCGGGACCTATTTATATGAGGTGAATCAATCTACCGAAGTGATTGATTGCTTAATGCCCCAGTCCCCAATCATGTTAATCAGGTCGGCAAAACACTGTCAATTACTGTAGGCATCTTGTAACTCACATGAGTGCTCTTTGGAGCAACACACGTTTTGTTAATTGCCAGTTCATACATTTTGTTTAAATTAAACATAAATAATTGTGAAGTTTATTCTACTTGACTAGAATGAATAAAATCATGATACAAACATAATAATCAAATAATAATACTGGATACAAGTCAGAAGGAACAGTGGTGGAACAATTTTACCTTATAATATGAGTGTTTTTTCAACCAATGTTTTCAGCCTTACAATCATAGTCTTACCGATTGTTTGTAGTTTGAGGCATGTAAATAATTCAGTGATTAGCACATGTTAAGGTCAAATTGTCATATTGGACAAAGAAACTATGATTCTAATAAAAATTATTATTATTACCAATAGGGGTTAACATATTTAAAGCCCATTTACAAGGTA